CCGAGGAGTTGGAGGGAAGTGAATCGAAGAGCGTCGGCCACAGGTTCCGGCAGAGAGTCCCTGTTCTTCTCTATGAACCCCTCGATCTCATAGGTCACCTGACAGTCATGTGATATACAGCACATTAGTCATGTGACTAACAAGTGATATCAAGTACACAATAGAATGGTATAAAGTTAAAGGGCAATGAAATTCTGTCGTCCTTTCCTGGTTGTGAGTACATTTTAACCCTCGGTGCGCATGCGCAGCAAGGGTTCAGTAGTCGTGTACGTGTGTCCGCGACTATTCTCGCACTACAGGCTACGAGGCGGCTTATGAGCGATACCAACAGCTTTAGCGGTACATGGGCTAGAAAAGTAAAATGGCGATTTTGCTGAAACGACTGCGTTCGAGAGCGACAAACTGGCACGGTAGCGGAGCGCGTTGCTTGGCCCAACCCATCAATAAGCGGTGCGCATGCGTGTATTAGTGGCTCACCTCGACCTGATCCGCTTGGAGAGAGCACAAGAAGCCACAGCGAAGGGTGTGTATCGACTCCCGCATGCTATCTACTACTGTAGCTAGCCAGTGTCAGACTCTCCGCAAGCTATATACTAGCGGGAGACCGCGAGTAAACGGCAATAGCCGAGGGTTTGCACTTCAAGTAATGGGTGGGGGCCGGAGGTCTGATGGATAAGCACCCCCCTCTCTTGATCGTGAGGTCCCTGGTTCGATCCCGGGTGTGTGTACGCCTTTTTTTACAATGATGTAATAGAGTGTTGGTATATATGGAACGTTTTTTCATCACCTCTCAAGGCCAGCCCGAGTGGCTAGGTGGTTAGAGTCGTGGGGACTGACACCATAGGTGCGGGTTCGTATCCTCGATCCCGCACTAAAGTGTCAGGTGGTCCAGAGCATTGGCTGGGAACAGCTCTGGTTCCTCCCCTTACCCACAAATCTACCACTGACCAACGTTTCTCAAAGGGCAGCGTACAGTTCGGCATTGCACTGCGTCCGTAGAGATGAAGGGCTGGCCGTATTTTTTTAACCTTGGTTTTTGCACTAAACAATCCACGGGTAATACGAAAATTAATAGAGAGATGAAAGGTTGGCAATATTTCAACCTTATATATATTTTTGGGCCCCAAACAGAAATAGGGCTGGCCATTTTTTTGAAAATAATCCATGGAAATGGTGCATAACATGCTGTTCTTTTTGATGCTCAAATGGTGCCACACTTGTGTATGGGTTCCACATTTCTATATAGTGTGCCGAGGGTTTGCACTTTAGCGCTTTTCATTCTAGTTGTGCTATTGCAACATGCATTGCATATGACAAATATACTAGCTAGAGTACTGCCGTACTTAGTGACAGTATACCAGCGAATACTTGTGTTGTATGGCATCTTATGAGCTCCATATCTGAATTAAGTGTAACATCCCCTCATGATTAATGTCTGAACTAACGTCTCCAGCGTAGTGGCTGATGGTGAATTCCAGGGCGTTGCCACGGTGAGGAGCAAAGCACTGGTGCTTGTTGAAGCTCTCTCGGGACCTCTGAACAAATGCCTTCTCAGAACCCTGCACCCCAGAGAAATTAACACTAAATTAAACTTGTACTGTATGTATGTATGTGTACGTATGTTGCAGTGCTCAGCATGAGCTGGTCCCGCAATGCAGATGTCCCCCCACCTACAAAATTTCAAAGAGAAAGCTTCGGTGGACGACTAAATGCACTGTTAGAAATTCGTTTTCTCCCTCGTAACTTTCCCGCCATACATTTTAGGTTGAAAATGTATGTGTTACAGATAACAATATGAGAGTATGCACAGTCACCGTGAGGCATTGTAAGGTTGGTAACTAACATTGAGCCCCTTGCACTGTTCATCCAGTAGACAGAGAAGGCCAATAGGTCTGGCCAGGAATAGGTCAATCACTGGAGTATTGTCAGTGTACGATATGTCAAGGTCATCTACTCCTTCCTTGGCACACTCCAGCTGATGGAGAGAGGAAGGAAGAGAGAGGAGGAAAGACGAGGAGAGGAGAGAGAGGAGAAAAGACGAGGAGAGGGAGAGAGAGGAGAAAAGACAAGGAGAGGGAGAGAGGAGGGAGGGAGAGAGAGACAGAGAAAAAATGAAATGAGATGTAAAGGAATAAAGGTTGCGTGTGTTGGTATATACAACAACTGATTTGGCACTGGTTGCAAAATATCTCTCTGTCTACTCTAAATACGAGGACAAATTGCGTCATAATTAATGATGGATGAAGGGTATAGTATCACATTACTACACGTATGTATGTATGTATCCGTAACATGCACACTGCTTTTATATGCACAACGTGTTGTACTTTTTCCATGGCGAAGATCTGGTGGTTGAAGTACTGTTGGAGCTGCTCGTTGGCGAGATTGATGCAGAACTGCTCGAAACTGTTGGCCTCAAAGTTCTCAAATCCAAAAATGTCCAGAATACCTGCAACAAAAGAAGACATAAACACAATACTCTATTTACCGTACTTTAACTTATAGAGTATATACATAACTTCTGGCAGGCAAGGAAGACCACCTAGTCGTCTGAATTGCGCGCTTTTTCTCCATAATATGTACAACTGATCGCCACGACAATACACATGTAGAAAATACCATGTGATGCCAAGAGAAAAAAGATGGGGAGCTCTGGACAGCTGTTTCGGGCTTGTTGGCCCTCATCAGCAGAGCATACCGCAACTTCTCTCTCTGGCATCACGAGTTTATAAAGGCTACCGGGACACATGCACGAATTGGAACATACACAGCTTTTGAAGGTTGCTTTGAATTTGAACGTATAGCTTTTTGAAGGTTGCTTCACTCGCCAAAAATGTATGGCATTTGTTATAATTGTGTACTATATATACCGATGTTGAGATGGTCCTCCGTTACTGAGAGCTTGCTCCTGGAGTAGTTGTCTCTTGGTTGGAGGTGAGTGTTTATTCGCGAGACGATCCACTGGAACATGCGGGAGTAGAGTGCCTTGGCAGCTGCGTCCCTCACGACCGCAGCCTTGGAACAGCTGTACAACTTGTCCACCGGCTCTCCTGTGGACAATACAGTCTGTCAACTTACACCACTCTTCATACACACACGTGTACAGAGGAACCTTATTTTTTCCCCTAAACTGTGGCCAATACAATGTCGAGTGATGCCACACTTCGTACTCAGTGGAACCTGATTTTCCCCTAAACTGTGGCCAACACAATGTCGAGTGATGCCACAATTCCAAAACTGCCAATCCACGAACATTTGGAGCAGAACAGACCTCTGGTGACAGTTCGAAGGGTTGTGAGAGCAAATGAGACTTCCGCGGAGCTCTCGAGACAGAGGAGTTGGGACACTGTCTCTACCACTTCTGGGTTCCTGACGGTTGCACTGTCACCACCTCCCTCCTCTGAACTGACAAATTCCTGTGGACAAACGATGAAGGTGTGGAGAGGGGAATATAGGTGAAAGAGTAGGGGGAGTCGGAATGTCGCTGCAGTGCATAAAATAGCAGTATTGGATGACAGACACACAAACCAATACTGTGCATGTACACTGAGGGTTATAGGGTTTAATTACATCACTTTACATACAAAGCTATCTGCACTAGCCCTTATACGCTTACATACGTACTAGTATGCAGATAGATTATCTATCAGTTAGTGTGTCACTTACAATGTCCCCGATGTGTAGGATGGCAGCGAGCAGAGTTATAATCTGGTCCACCTCTGAACTAGAGAACCCTATGCTCTCCATACTCTCCAGAACTGCTGAAAATGCCTCTCTGTAAATTTGGGGGAGTGAAATAGAGCTGGAAAACAACACAAACACACATTAGCAAAATCACCAGGAAAGGCAATTATGTGGAATGGGATGATGAGTGTTGTAAGTTTCATCTGTACCTAAACTACAGTGTTGTTGATTCGAATCTCACCCAGGGCAGCTCTTATTTCCTTGGAAAAAAGATTTGTCCTGGGTGTTGTTTGCCTTGTTTTTACATTCTTAATACGAGACTGCAATAGTTGCAGCAGGTACAGTACGTAGCTTAGAGTCCCGACATAGACAGCTACACATGTTTGCATTACACTCGTGAGTCGGTCTACAATCCTAAACTAATTGACCGGTCCTCAATAGGCCCTTGACCGAGGTGAAATATTTACATTCCACGCACAGGGAACTACTGTACTACTGTAGCCTTCAACACAGGGCCCTGACTATATGAGGTGAGTGTTTCATAGACGAAAAGACTGAGGCCGAAAGCATTGTACACCAAAACAAGGTTGTTTTCTTGTGACCCCCTGTTCAAGGTCATGTACAAACATGTAGGAATGTTGTAGGGAGTGTAGTGTGGTCCAGACCTGCTGTCTTCGGAGCTGCAGTCTTTGGTGAGTTGGCAGTAGGTCCTGAGGTAGCGATGGTGCTCTGGACCCTGGCAGAGGAGGGGGGGAGGGGGGGAATGGAAGAAGAGAGAGACGAAGGTAAGAAAAGAGAGGGGAGAAGGGAAAGCACTCACAACTATAAAGAGTTTTATGGGTGTACTGTAGTTGCCTTGCAGAGCCCCTTGTTGATCATGCACTGCATGTAGTAAAGGCACATTGTGGGTGTTGATCATAGTATGGCAGAGACAGGTGACTGTAAGAGTTATTTCCCTTTCCTCCATTCTTGCACCTACACATGACTTGTAGCCCTACTTTTGGGGCACCAACATGCAGGTATATGCCTTACTCCTAAGTCTTCAACACTACATTTTTATAATCATGTTTACATCATACCTTGAGGTGTAGTTGGGCTTTCTTCTCTTGAGGTAGACCAGCATAGAGGTAGTAGAATATGTGGAAGTTTCTTTCCTGGAGGCCAAAATAAACATGTTAACCTCCTTACATCAACCACGGGTAGCGTTTCCTTGTACGCTGTATTGCAGGTTCTGTAGTAAAGGTGGTTGTGGAATCAACATGTGACCCACTGTACGTACACCAATGCACTTTGCCATACATTGATAATACAAGTATTTCCTACAAAAACTGCACGTAAAGGTTTTACTAAAATTACCGCTCTCTTATAGTGCTAAATCATACATTTTAACACGAAAGGACTCTCTACCCACACCTCTAACCCACTTTCTCGGTCTGCACGCAGACTCTGGATTTCTCCAGTAGGTACTGCTCCAGGCCGGCTCCAACGATGCGCCCGCTGGACTCAAAGAGAAGTTGAATAAACTTGCCGAATCGGCTGGAGTTGTCGTTCAGTTCTGTGCGGGCGTTTCCAAAGGCCTCCAACAGTGGGTTGAGCTGTGAAGGTGGAATATACGTAGACCTCAAGTTTCATCCCAAATCAACGTTATTTTCGTGTAAGTTTTTAGTTATACAAACAGTCTTACACATGATATGGGCACAAACAAATTCAAGATTGTATATACACAGCATTCTTACATTACGTGGACATATTCGAACGTCGATGCGCTACATGCTATTAACAATGTAAACATTAGCTGTGTGGTTGGTTAGCTGTGCCTTTGTTGTAATAAATGTAAGTACATGTACTATACATGTTTGTGTGGCAATGGTTGTAGGAGGTAGCTAGCTATACACCTGCTGTACAGAGTGTCAACACAGCTGGACAACGCTTAGCCACGTTAAACATGCTTTGGGCCCGGCTCTCTGTACTACGCAGGTGTCTTTGAGGTGAAAGGATAGAACCTACGACCAACATACATAACTGGAGATACCATAGCAAAGTGCTAGATAACACACACACATGGACGTTATACTGTTGCAGACTAAGGTGCAGTAGGTGCAGTGTTGGTATATAGCCCACCACTCCCCACAACCAATTTTGAACGGTGTTTGCAGACAAGTAGTGCATCTATTTCCTGTGTCAAGATGGGCTGAAGTATTTGTGGGGGGAACGAAATGACAGGACTTCCAACCTGTGCTACATACAGTGCATGAACGTGGACATGTGATAGAGTCACGGGCATTTACATGGAAAGTATTTTGTGCATACAAATCCAATCATCACGATTCACTGTGTGTGTGTGTGTGTGTGTGTAGCTCTAATATGTAGTTGGTATAATAGTGGCCCTAGTGCTATGGCAGCCACCTGAGTATTATAATAGAAACTCTATATACCATGTGCATATTGTGTATGACAATAATGGTGTATGTTTCTATATCAAATTTTTAAGTACAGGTTACCAAGCTGTTCACTTCACCTTCCCCACTCAAAACGAAACTTTTCGACCAGTGTACTGTAGAATATTTACATAGGTCACCGAGTCCCAAGGAAAGAACAATGAGAGAAGCATACACAACAGAAGCTGCAAGACGAAAGCACTTCTGGCAGGTTCGCGCTATAAATTCTCCACATAACATACCATTATATCTGTGGTGTCAACAACAGACAAACAACGGAACTAAAACCCGGACAACTCTTTCAAAAAAAGGAGCTGCCCTGGGAAGGACTCGAACCCGAGCTGCCCTGGGTAGGATTCGAACCCACAACACTCAAACATAGGCAAGCACTATGGGTGCGTCGATATATACAAGAATAGCAGAAACGATGCGGAGCAGCTGCTGCATTACAGGAAACCGGAGTATCTCTACTTCCCCATGTTTGTCCTCGCCAAGGAGTGTGTGGAGGTGTACTGTGTGGTGTGCGTGTGTCGGGGGATTTAGCTAATTCGACGAGAATCTATGGTATTTCTTGTGTAGAATACAAATTCGACAGATTATAAAGTTGGCACACTGCAATGTGTAGATACGTCCCTTCAATGCGTATATATACAATGCACCCACCTTCCTATCCCAGAACAGTGTTTGTGAGGAACACACTCTGCCATTGGCTTATAGTAACACATTGTGTATATACATTACATCTGATGATGGTATATATATATAGACACAGAAATTTGAACCCTCATATATCAACAGGATAATGTTGCACAGGATATATACATAGAGTGGGTATTGTAGCTACTATGGGTCTGCATATACAACCAGGAAACTGTTTTATGAAGGGGAAAGTTTCGTGTTCCTTTTGGGTTTCCTCGTTCATATTACGTCATACACAGCTTGAAGTTTCATACGTAGCCAGGTACATTTAACCTCACACAGGTGCACCAACTAAAACATAACAGGACTTGCAACGAATTTTAATAACACGTGGTTAAATAAAGATGAAAGCTCAGGTTACTACACAACAAAAACTTTCGGATCGCGTATCGAGTGCTTCGATTTGTGTGAAAACATTCTGTGACATGTTTTTTTAATACCTGTATGATTTTCTGCTGCAGTTTCAGTCCGAGTCCCGCTGAGCTGCACATGTTCATCACCTGTGCAAACATGGACAGACCAGAATGAAAACTTTAGGCTCATCATAGACAATTGAATACATTTAGTAGCCCTGTTCGTCTATTTTATTAGCCCCTAAAGATGGAACAATGACAGCAGAATAATTTTTAAAAACTATCAGCTCCATAAAACACAGCTGATTCAACTCCCACATAATAATTGCCACACCTTCTTTCCGCTTCAGAGACCTTTCTATCTAGCTATGACTCACCTGTTTCATGATAAACTTGGCCGACTCGGTCTTCCCTGCTCCGCTCTCTCCGCTTATGACGCAGACCTGGTTCTTTTTACCCTGCACCATCGAGTTGTACGCAGCGGACGCGACGCGGTAGATGTGCGGAGCTAAACCGCTAACGTCGGTCGCTGCGTATGCCCCCGACCACGCTCCGTCGTACATCAGTAGCTCTTGGAACGGATTTACTGCGACCAGTATGTCTCCGACAGCCGTGTAGATGAGCCCCGCACGGTAACGCTCTTCTATCGCCTTCAGGAGATTCGTTTCTGTGAGCTCGGCGAGGCTGGTGAGATTGTCTGCCTCCAGCGCCGCCCACGGTTGGGCTCGAACGGACGCCATTTCTTCGTTTGCTTCTACTGCGAGAATAGTGATGAGAGTTTGGTTGTTTTGCTAGATGAGAGCTTCTGCCGTGCAATGCTTCCGCCGGCATTTCCGCATTTCGCATCGATGCGGACTTTCCCGCGCCATTAGTGCGCATGCGTTACGCCGTCGACCTCCGCTGATATTAGGAGGCGTGGCCGGCCCGCCAAGCTAGAAGCTAACCATGGCGGTGGCCTCCACCGGAGCGAGAGCCGCCCAGGGCTCAATAATACACCTCCTGAGGCAGAGGGAGATGGAAATGAACGAATGCAAGATCGAGAGACTGGGCGGTAGGATCACGAGATCCGTCATCTGTCCAGGTAAGTATGACGTCACACTATACACCCATCCACTTTGTAGTAAAATAGCCTCCCCACAGTCTTCAATGGAGTTCTGTCCTGTGTGGAGTAAGACTTCGAAAAAGGCAGTCTGTATTGGATTGGATAGGTATTTATAACTTAGACCAGAAGGGAGAAAAATTAAGAAAGTTTATACTTTTTCTCTCAGGCGGATATACTTGCGACAAGTACCAAACTTGCTACTTTGTGTAGGTGTAAGTTAGTTTGCAAGAGACTCGATGTTCATGATGATAATATCATTGGATATAGAGAAGGGTGCAGAGGGAAACCAAAGGAAATGTACAGACTTCCAGTTGGACGATTCAAAATTGACATCAATTCAATGATCCTCTACAACTGCCATCTGGTAGAGAGAACGCATTCCATCACTTAACGACACACTAATCATACTGTATAGCAAGTTGAAGGAGAAGAGGATCCTGCCTGAATCAGGGGGAAATGCGAATTTTCTATGGGAAAAATCTTGCGGAGTGCATATAAAAGTTCTTTCATCGAAAAGTTAAATTCATCTGAGCAGTATAGTTTCTGTCAGGAGTCATACTTAGGCCCAATGACTGGGATTTGCTAATCAAAGTCTGGTCTTTACTTCACATTCACTAGTATCACTAAGTACGGTAGTATACTTATCTTAAATATAAAATGTTGTTAATCGTTTTATGATGCAGAGAAAGCCGCCTACCACCATAGAGGAGCAGCGGCCATGTCTGCTGGTTCAGACCACTGATGGCTGGCTGAAAATTCTCGATGCCTGCTCTGGAGAATGTCTCAGATCTGCCTTTGTCTCTTCCATCATTAAATTCAGGTATGTATATACATACTTTTAATGGGAATGTGGCTATACATTAAAAAAAATTACTAAAAGATGGAACGAAACAATGGGGTGTAGTGCAAGAATGCAACTAATAACTAACTAATGTGTTTAATAACATTTCTCAAAATTGCGGGGGTAGGGGGTAGGTAACCCCCCTAAGTGCCGTAGTACTTATGCCTACTATGCCTCCAGCTATAATATCATCTCCCTCCATCATAACAGCTCCCTGGACTGGGCTGACTACTACCACACTATCCAACTAAAGTCCACCGTGAGTCAAATTCGTCGATCTGGAAGCCGTGGTCTGCCTCCTCCTACCAGTGATCGCCTAATGATCATGTACATCTTCAAAATCCACCCCCTTCAACTGGCTGGCTCCTTCAGCCTCAACAGAAGTGTGAGTTGAGCCATCGTTTTAGGGCAGCCTTGTTTATATAGCTGCACTCTCTGCATGTGAGTATATCCCAATGGTCTCAACAAAGGATTCAATGTGAATTTCCCTAGCTAAACTTTGCCAAGCCAATCACTTTTCTGTTTATTAGGTGTTCGGAGCAAAGATCAGAGATGCTGAGCTCAGTGAAGACGTTCTGGTAGTATCGCACTCGAACAACACTTTCAACTTCTACAGTTTTCGCTGGATGCTGAAGCATTGCACAGTGCTAGAGGCCAGTCTGGGGGAGTGGCTGGAGATGGACGGTGGTGGGAGGTGTGGGATTGTGGGGGAGCCTGGATTTGGTGTCCCTCTCACAATGAACATCAAAGGTCACTGGACTCTTATGTAATAAGGAAACACTCGAACATGTTTGCGTTTGAGTGCGAGTATTTCTCTTCAAATTTGATTTGTTGTACATCGGGACTAGAAATCATGGAAATTTGGTCTTAAAGATAAAGTTTCTTCTTAAAACTTTTTTTGACACCTACAACAACAGTATTCTCCCTCGAAAAGCTTCCCCTACCTAGTTCCTCATCTTCATGTTCTGCTTCTCCTACCATTTCTTATAGAGTGTCCACCATTGCTGTTCACAACCCAGAGCAGTCTGGGTTATGGAGTTCAGTTTGGAGGCTCGCCGGCCGTCTTCTGCCACAACTCCGTCCCTAAATTCCCAGACGTTTTCCACATTAGGGCACTGTCAGGAAGACACCTGGTGGGTTGGAGGGACACAATTAGCCCCAATTTGCATGCAATAGCTTTCAAGTGTATTGATAGTTCAGCACCACTACTGTGATTGCTGTAGTAGGCATATTGAGTGACATTTTTCCTAATTTGGTTATGCCTTAAACATGGCTAGCGTATGGTTCAGGAAGCTATGCTATTGGTGATAAATTAACTCACTATCAGCAATAAATTACTCTTATAGTGGAATTTTGGGCTCATGCAGATATCGGAAATAGAGCATGCCAGCCATTTTCAAACTTACTTAGCGTAACACAGCACCTCTTCTGTGAGACACAGCACCTCTGCTGTGGGACTTACATACATCCTACATGGAGATCACTTGGGTTCCAAAAACACAGTTTATAGGATGGGCTCCAGAATATGAGTGTCCACCACCTACACACTCCGTCTAAGACTAAAATCCATCAGTAGGAGTAGTACTATAATTTGCAGTCAAAACATGTAGGTAGTGAACTGATGATTGTGTTAATTCAATCATGAGCAGGTGGCGGAATTGAAGAACGAGTGTCCCACGATGAACGATGATGTCGCAAATTTCCACTTTGACAACTACCAGAGATTCATTCACATACACGGATGTACCTACAGGTATATCATACATTGTCCATAAAGGGTACGTCATGTAATCATTGAGATGTGCATTATGCATGATTGGTGGCATCCAGGGGTGTTCTACCTAATTATGAGGTGTGGTTTTTAAGATGAAACATCCTGGGTGTAGAACCTCTTGCATTGATTTGTATATTAGAGCATTACATTCCATGTTCTCAGCTCATACAAGATTCGTCACGCGGATGGCCAGCCACACCGGCTTGAAAAACAGTACTCTGTTGATTTCAAGCAACAGTCACCAATTGGATACCAGCTTGAGCAACAGGACACAGTTAGTACCAGCTCCATTGCTGTGCGATATATAAATTACCTTGCCCCGTGGTTTGATGTGCTACAGCCTGTGATTACACTGTCTGGCAGAGTGGTTAAGAGAAGGAGTACTGACGGTGGCTTTAATGACTTGAGTGTGAGTTGCAGCTCTATGAATGGAATATTAGCTTGATTCGTATAACTATAGTACTAACTTAGTTGTACTAAATGAGAACTTTAGATGTGGATGAAAATCTATACTGAATCTTAGCTATTAGTCATCTATCAACCAAGCAACTCCTTCAATAACACTAACAGTAGCACTTTGGGCAGTGTCTGAGGGTTTCTTTTTTGCAACTGAGTCCTCTCCTCCAGCCCTGTTCTCTGCTCCCTGCAGTCGTCTCTTCATAAAGTGGAGTTGGAGGATGAGGTTGATCTTGTGTTCGCTGTGGTCACCCTGCCTGCAGGTTAGTCTCAGCACTCCAGAGCTGTATATTGTAGTATATCAAGCTAGAGTCTCTCTCCCTGTGTGTGCATTTCCTAGCACATTACTTTTAAGTGCATGCAACGCAGAGGGGGAGAGGGCATGCCACATGCACTTAAAATTAACGCGCGAGGAAAAACATGTGTGGGACTATAATTATACTATATAGACTACTGAGAGCTGGTACAATTTTAGTAGAGAGTCGATGCTATTCTGTGTATTCTTGTTTACCATAGGTGACGATGATGTGTCAGCCTACCTGTTTTTCCTGGATGATAAAACGGGAACTATTTTGAAAACGGTTGAAATACCGACATGGAAACAGGTGTTGCTCCTAATCGTTATGATTTGTGCTTTTGGTGTGATTGCTACCATTATTGTAGGGTCTTTCGAACCTAATTGACTATGAACTGGACTGCATTTTGCATGTGGTGCAAGACGGAGCCACTTCAACATGTCATTATTACCGCCTTACGAGGACAAAAAGATGACCAGTGTTTTGCTCGCGCACTAGGATAATACGCGCGCATGCGCATTACGAGCGTGGCGCAAAACGAACAATGCGGGCTTGTGGGTGTATAAAAGGCCGCGGAAGAGACAATGCGAGCTGCAGAGGGCGCCATGCGACCTTAGTTCTTGCACGCACAGGAGTTTTTATACGTCGGCGCAATGGGATTATCTTTGGTTACCGTGGTGGGAGCAATTCTGGCCGCGCTGTGGGCTGCAGAGGCCTCCCCTGCCCCGATCTCGACACAAGGTTTGTAGCTATACTGCCCGCACTAACCCCATGCCAACTGAGCTCCCACACAAATTGTTTGCAGTGCTGGTCCAGAACTTTGAAACTGTCCACCCGAAGATACTGCATAAGTCCAGACCTACTCGCAATGTAAGTATTAGAGCTGCACATGGCTCAATTACTGCTAATGCAAATACCGCGGTCATTTTGAGCTAAATGACTTTGAAGTCTGTTCTTGTGCCACAATATGACAGCATGCTTCCTTCAATTTAAGTCCTCAGACCATTTGGCAGTCTGGGCATAACACCATGCCCCCCACCATGCCCTCTTGCAATGAAAGACAAACCAAATTTGGTATGCAATGCTAGGCAACTGTCCGTTCACCTTCATATAGAGTGTTGTGTAGTGTTACATGGTGGGAAATGCAGAGTCGGGCCAAACATGGGAGGTGGTGGTAAACACTAAACACAACACACAGTCACTCTTTATTCTTTTATTCTGGTAGCCTGCCTGCTTTTAGGCTTGCTGTACCACTTAGTGTCCCTATTGTCCTTAGAATCTGCTCATTAGTGTGTTCCACCCTTCAATCACTTCTTCAATTTATACCATGTGTCCTATAATAGTTAAGCACCCACCTCTCTTCTATTCACATAATGTAAAGGTGTGTCTACTTCATGCACTAATAGGCTCATTCGGATCGTCTGGATGTCAGGATTACCACTGAAGCTGGTGAAACATTCACCCTCAGACTGTCGTTGAATGAGTGAGTAAGACATTGTTAAAATCATCTGCTCATATAATAGCAGAGTATCATCACGGTAGAGGTGCAGAATTATAGGGAGAACTTTAGCAAATCAATTATGCGTGTGTGTATAATATGTCCTTTGCTATAGCACTACATACTAAAGAATTACTCGGTAGAAAGTTACATACGTAACAGTATGCAGGTTCGCGACAGGTGCTCTGTTGCTAGTGCCTGGTGGTATATTTGATGGGTGCGCGTATTACTTCATGGGTATGCTATGTATATAGCATGCAGACAAGTTCACATGCATTGCCAGATCAGACAAGTTGGCAGATTAATGTTTCACATAATATTGATCTGAATATATATGAACTTGCTTGCTAGCATGAAAGGTACATAGTTGCAGATAAAAACTTCCTGGTATAATTTTCATAATTCACCAGCAAAGCAGATACACACATACCGTATACCACAGTAAACACGTCATTGCTTTGGAACTGGATAAGGTTCCTTCTCAGAAGGATGATGCCACTCCTTGGGTAATTAGTCTTAACTCATACATCCCACAGGTGGCATTTATAATATAGAGGACAATAAATGAGAATCCTTATTCCTGAGTGGTATTTAGCGGACACTATGTTCGGAGAATTGATCATAATCTCTCTTCCTGACTTTGACATTGTCACATTTCCTGTGGTTGTAGAGAACTATTAGACTTTCCTCTGATATAACAACTGCAACTACACGTGCTGCGTAGCACCTCGAGCCTTAGCCTTTGTGTGGGAGTATAATAGTGGGAGCCCAACTGTGGTCTAAGAGTTGGTACACTGAGAGGGATTGTCAGTACAAACTACTCACACTTTTTTGAGTAATGAATCGGTTGGTCGTGTGTCCATCCTGCTTCCTTTAATTTGGCAAGAAACACGTAATCATTGGCGTACCCTCAAACAAACACATGGGAACAAACACGTAAAATAAATGCTGCAGGGTATAATACCCTTGTGTCAACATTAGCACAATACAATGTATAATGAAACATTAGTAAATTCGTATAATGGCTTTCTCTTTATGCAGCATGGTTATGTCACCAAGGTTTTCCTCAGTATACTATAATGAAGACGGTCAAGAAGTTCAAACAGAGGTAAGGCTTAGCCTCAGATTGAAACTTTACGAGTTAATATTTATTACCAATAACAGCAGTGCACCACAGCAAATTGTTATTGGCAATGTCAATATGCTAGCTTGCGAAAATGCATGTCCTTTCCTGGCATCACCACGACCAACAAAAGATTAAGTTCATTTTTATGCTGATAAATCACGCGTAAAATGGTGTACACTCTTGTGTATCTGCAATATGCCGCAAGGAGAGTGAGACTGCCCACGGTTGCATGCCAGAACATAATCCAATTGCTGATGTTAGTTGCGGGCAGCAAGCCAACTGATCTAGCCGCCCACCCACACATATAATTTGGTTAACTCTAATAGTCCAAACACGTGTCAGGGAAGCTAAACTGTTTAGTTGTTTTCCATCACAGTAATGCAGCAATTAGAGCTCTTTATATTCCAATCGCCAGCAGGAGCAGGTGAACTGTTTCTACCAAGGAGAGGTGGTGGAGCGCCCAGAGTGGCAAGTGGCAATGGACTCATGCCAGGGGCTCAGGTAAGTAAGAGTGTCTAACGTAGACCCACCCCCCCGCATATCCCAGCAGACACTCCCTTATCAAAACCATGTGGTGAACTTTGAGATACGTATGGGTGTTGTACTGTGTCACACATGAGCAGGTGTTCACAGAGCATAATGGTATGTAGCCGGAGCAACGCAGGCCTGTGCTATGAATGTCTGTGTCATGGTGGTATATACTAATGACTGCAGAGAAGTTGAAGCTCTACCCACAATAACATGATTAGCAGGAAAGACTAACGACGGCATGGGGGCACCTATACCTAATGCGTATGAAAGTGGGGGTAGACACACTACCAAAGTTTGGCTGCTTCTGAATGCACCGTAAAATGTACGCTAGGTCGAAGGCATAGTAGTACACACTTAATCAGTGTTTGCAAATCGGTAGTGTGTTGTGGGTGGCCACGAGTGAATGCAGCATGGGAAAAGCACCGTCAAAGAAGCCTTTTCTAGCTCTCTGTGTCTGTAGGTTAAGTGTGTTACTCATAGTCATGAATTGGTGTAGTAAATAGTAATAAAGTGTGCTGCAAACTCTCAAATGTGGCCATATTAGGAGATCCAGATATAATCAATTAAAGTTCATGGTCTTCAATAGCTGCTGGGGAGTATATATATTGTACTGTGTATTAGTCTGCTGGGGTTACGTGTGCAGACAATTAATATAAATTAGTGGGGAAAGGAGCAAGGAATGTGAACTATAGCAATCACAACTGCAAAATGATCAAAGTGCAAGTTAATTACCGGTCAAACTGGGCGTGACAATAACTCTCTTTGAGATACAGGTGTTGTTGTGTTTGGTGTTAATGCAGAGGTTCCTTTGGCAATTGGGCTAACAGTACACTGCGCTATGTTTTGGAGCCAATGAGTCCAGAAGACCATTCGGTGAGTGGCAGATGTTAAATCATGGACTGGTGTTGGTACGTAGAATCAATGGTATATTATGTGGTAGATGCCAATCGTGTATTATGATGTCCCCTTGTGTGAATTTAGTATGGAATTTCTCTGCTTAGAAGTGTTGGTTTATCCCTACATAATTTGCTAACAAAGTTTGAGAGCATCACAAGATTGATTGATTGGTGTGAAATGCTTTGTAGGACTACATTAATCAATAGCTATGTAATATATAGCAAGACACAACAATAACAACGATGAGTGGCAGCATAGATGGAAAAGTCTGACTACTATGTTAGCTCCCTCCCACTTGCTAATGTACAGTCCTATTAACTATGCAGTTGGAACAACCCCATTCATTATCCCTGGAAGATGGCTCAGCTGAAGGAGGCCAATGTGGTACGTATGTAATATCCATACTATCTACCCAACCTAACGTATGACGTGGATGGTGTGTGTTGTCTCACTTTGGCCTGCGTAAGGTTTTACCCTGTGAACACCACTAATAGCTAATCCCAGCTTTCGCCTGAAGCACAATCAGACACATATGGTCCAGTGTTTTGACTAGTTCGGCTATGACTCACATGGTTACCTAACCAAGGCCAGGAAACTGGTGTGGAAAGATTAAAACCCCACAGTGAGAATGAGGTAGTAGTGGTTTGTTTGGGTTAGAGTGTTTTGTGTTGCCAACCTTAGTGTGGTTGACCATACTCTAACTCTACACTGCCCCATGTAGGTACTAGTGGCCACAGCCACTCAGAAGAAGCCTCCTTTGACCCCAGTGAGCTGGTGCTGGATACAGAGTTGCTTGAGCGTGTAAGAACTTGCACTGTGTTCGTATTTTACCAATGTAGACGATGTTTTGCTTGGTGTCTTGCAAGCACGTGACCGTCTTTTGTTATTAATGTTTTGCTTGGCAATATTGGTTGTTTGTTTGAAGAAATGTCGTCGTCTTTTTGACACTGTAGGCTCGCAGACAGTCCAGTCCCTACTATGTTGAGTTACACATCATCAATGACAATGGCCAGGTACGTGTGTTTGGGCCGTCTACCAAGAGTGCATGTGTAAAATGATGACACATGGCTGGCTCAAGCCAAATTATGACAGATATGTTGGACACTTGCATGGGAGTTATTAATAGCTAGCTAAGTACCAAGGAAAAACCACCATTCTACAGCTTTTGTGCGCAACAACACTTCCCTAAACTCTAACCTGTACACTCATGTAGGAGAGAATGCGAAATTTGGGCGAGATAGGGATAGGTGCAGCGAGATAGAAGATGGTACCATTCCATACTCCAACTGTAGCAAAAGTATTAAGGATAGTTGGTTTGTCTCTTTTTCTACTCATGTGCCTAAAAAAAATGCTAAATCATTGACACATATGTAGGGGAGAGCGCGAAATTTGGGCGAGCTGGGGATAGGTGCAGCGAGATAGAAGATGGTACCATTCCATACTCCAACTGTAGTAAATGTAGGATAGTTGGTTTGTCTCTTTTTCTATTCATGTGCTTACAAAAAATGCTAAATCGTTGACACATATGTAGGGGAGAGCGCGAATTTTGGGCGAGATAGAGATAGGTGCAGCGAGATAAAAGATGGTACCATTCCATACTCCAACTGTAGTAAAAGTATTAAGGATAGTTGGTTTGTCTACTTTTCTACTCATGTGCCTACAAAAAATGCTAAATCATTGACACATATGTAGGGGAGAGCGCAAAATTTGGGCGAGATAGAGATAGGTGCAGCGAGATAAAAGATGGTACCATTCCATACTCCAACTGTAGTAAAAGTATTAAGGATAGTTGGTTTGTGTCTTTTTCTACTCATGTGCCTACAAAAAATGCTAAATCGTTGACACATATGTAGGGGAGAGCGCGAAATTTGGGCGAGATAGGGATAGGTGCAGCGAGATAGAAGATGGTACCATTCCATACTCCAACTGTAGTAAAAGTATTAATGATAGTTGGTTTGTCTCTTTTTCTACTCATGTGCCTACAAAAAATGCTAAATCGTTGACACATATGTAGGGGAGGATGCAAAATTTGGGCGAGATAGGGATAGGTGCAGCGAGGAACCATTTTTGTAGTACACAGTGTAGTATCCTCATTTTACTGTGGGAAACCTCCAGTCAAATTTTACCATGCTCTAAACTGATTACGCCCCTAATGTGCAGTTTAATTACTACGGAAGGAATTTGGAAAGGACTGTTAATAGAGCAATTTCACTCATCAACGTTGCAGACACTGTGAGTCATAACAGTATTCACAGTATGTAATGTCTGTTAATCTGGGATTCCATTTTGAAAGTTTTATAGGAATAGCTTCAACCTTCGAGTGGTTGGGCTACGAGCAGAAACCTGGACAAGCGGTGATCGCTATGGTGCATTTAGCTCACAACCTGGCACGACTTTGCAGCAGTTGAGAGATTATGCCAGAACAATAAGACAGCGTTACGATGCTGTGATGCTCATCACGTAAGGAGATGAACAATAAACCCTTTGCAGAGCTGCCAAGTGCTATACATGTAGCATGTGCTAGTTACAACAAAAAATAGTCAGTGGGTATATATACCTTGGTCAAATTACACGAGCTTGGCAGCTATGCTTTGGATGATATTGTTAAGATTCCCATGTAATATACGTATGTATGCTTCGGAAATTATATCCTTATCGCTCTGATTGACAGGGGAAACGATTTTTCTGGAAGCACAATCGGCATTGCCTATCTCAATACTATGTGTGGCTCGGCGTCAGTCGGCATTGTCCAGGATAGACACAGAGCAGCTCTGGCTACTGGGAGTACATTTGCACACGAGATGGGCCATCTTTTTGGAATGGATCATGACTCTGGTGAGCATCCCTACACAGTCTAGTGAGCCTTGGCTCAATCGACAAATATGTCAGTACGTGTGACTAACTCTGGATGTGAGGGTAACGCTGGACCAGCCAGAAACTCTATCAAGAAGGAGATGTTACTGCCTAGTGCTTTTGTTGGTAGTAAAATTTGTCTGCATTGGCTGAATCTTCCTTGGTTTTTGCAATGGCAAAAATAATCTGTTTGTTCTCCCACATCTGAAGCTATCCCCATACACCTTATCGCAGACATCAACCAAATGAACTTCATTCCTTTTTCTTAATAGGTGCCTGCTCTTGTCCAGACAGTCGCTGCATAATGGCAGCAAGCATCAACACTTTAAACCCACCGCAACAATGGAGCACCTGCAGCGTAGCCACATACAACAGTGTCGTCTCGAGAACGTTCAACAATCTGGCCAGGTGCCTCCACAACGTGCCGTCCGACATCCTCGGTGACCCCGTGTGCGGCGATGGGATTCAGGAGGAGGGAGAAGTGTGTGATTGTGGCTCTCCTCAGGTTAGTATGCAGCTAATCTACCACTCATCTCCACCGTTTCTGTTTCGTTCTGTAGTATAATTATCTGCACGCATTCTCTTAAAACATAGCCACCCAAACATAATGGTTACAACAATATGTATTACTGGTCATTAGCACTGTTGGAATCACTATTATACTACTATAATATCAACTATTACTACTATTATTATGTGTGATAAACAATTTCCAAGCTAAGTGATCTTACTTAGTTGTTACATAAAATTTCCCTATAGTCTTATAGAGTTCTAAACAATAGTGTAGTGTAATCGAGATATTTAAAATAAACTCTGTGGATTGGTGTTCCAGGAGTGCACCGATCCATGCTGTGATGCCAGGACATGCAGACTGGTAGCAGAGGCTCAGTGTCACAAAGGGGAGTGCTGCAACAGCCAGTGTCGCTTCAAGGATTCTCTCTCGATGTGCAGACCTTCAGCAGGGCAGTGTGACATTGAGGACTACTGTACCGGCCTGTCTTCTGACTGCCCGGCTGACGTTTTTGTCCAGGACGGTACCACGTGCAATAATGACCAGTGGTACTGCTTTTCTGGGCAGTGTAAGACTTACAACGAACAGTGCCAGAGACATTTTCTGACAAGTAAGCCACGGCATGAATATGTCAGTCCATTGTAAATTGACAGTTTTTGTAACTTTCAATGTATGCTCTACTGTACAGATAAGGGACACGATAACTGCTTTAGCTTCAACACAGACGGTAGCCATTTTGGAAACTGTGGCTCTGACGGAACTTCGTATATTTCATGTCGACCTCAGTAAGTATGGGCAATGTATCCAAGGGTAGGTGATGTCCACCTTCTATTCAGGGACGTAATGTGTGGGCAGCTCTTCTGTGAAACAGGTGGACGGTATCAGAACCTGGTCACATCTGTCTTTGTATTACGAGTGGAGGCTTTTGATTCGAACCGACGGAGTGTGTATTGCAAGTGAATTTCTTTTTTTTTTTGGTTTTTTTTTGTAAGACGCACATCTGAAAACTCTGCAGTGCTTTCACAACTTACGTGGGTGCGGATATTGTGAGCCCCGGGCTAGTGGAAGATGGAGTCAAGTGTGGGAGAAACAAATGGTGCTATGAGCAGCAGTGTCGCGACTTTTCAGTCACACCATGCCCCAGAGGGCCCAATGCGGAAATCTGCTCTGGCAATGGAGTAAGTGTGTCCCTCTGGATCCATAGAGGTGTTTAGCTAAATTTGTATCTCCTCCTGCTGTGTTCAGAAATGCAACAACGATGACCAATGTACCTGTCTAAATGGTTTCTCAGGCTCAACCTGCGAGATCAGACCAAGTTTGTTCACACTCTTATCGTTTTTTCCAGTAAACATTTTTGGTGCTCTTACTATACTTGCAGTAATCAACGAGTGTGCACTGGGTATACACAACTGTGAACATGTGTGCATCGATACACTAGAAGCATTCGTATGCGCCTGCAATTTCGGCTACATACTCGAATCTGATGGTCATTCCTGCACGCTTGACTGTGGAGGCCGACTAACTGCAATCTCTGGGAGCTTTCAGACCCCAGGCTGGCCTAATGCCTACCCATCAGAAAACTTCCGGTGTGAATGGATCATTGATGTCTCTGGTGCTGGAAGTATAGAATTCACCATGGACCAGACTGCATTTGGTATCCTTGGAAATCCCTTGTCATCGTGCCCGACTGATTACCTCCAGTTCTTTGATGGGACTAGCAGTAACTCCAACTCCCTCGAGAAGATATGTGGTGTTCACTCTCACTATGAAGGAACCCTCCCTGTCATTTCCACCACCTCTTCATCAGCAAGAGTTGTGTTCACTGGAAGCAATCTACGACGTCCGCTCAGTAGAGTTGGTGTGAAAGTCAACTACCTAGCAGGAGGTAAGCCTCTGCACTATCTACCTATAAACTACAAATGCAGAGGTGTGGAAGCCTGAGGGCCCTCATGGATGGTACCTCAGGCACTCTGTTCATCATCAGATGCAAATATTTTTAGGGGGCTAAAACCTACATTTTTTTAATGGTCCCACTACCTCTGAATGTGCTCTCTTTCTCTCTTTGTGTAGAGAATGAGTGTCGCGAGAATAATGGAGGGTGTGATCACATATGCGTGAACACAGTCAGCTCATTTGAGTGTCAGTGTCGCAGTGGGTATGAGCTTCAGGGTAATGGAAAAAGTTGTACAGGTGGGATTTCTTGCACGCTCTGGTCCAAGAGCGTGTTTATGGGCATATTTGCTCTATACTACTTCTAGAGATTAATGAATGTGCCACACAAAACGGAGGATGTGAACACACGTGTGTCAATACTGATGGTTCATTTGAGTGCCAGTGTAGAAGTGGCTTCCATCTTTCCAGTGATGGATCATCGTGTCCTGGTTTGTTCATTACCCTACTATAGAGAGTATCTTAAACCCTTTCATGTGTGTATGTGTAGATATTGATGAATGCTCCATGGGTAGCCATGACTGTGAGCAGATCTGCACTAATACTGAGGGCTCATTCATCTGTTCCTGTAGCAGTGGATTTGATCTCTCCAGCAATGGAAGAACATGCAATGGTCTGTGAAATTTCCCAAGTATAGGTGTCATTGCCTGTACTGTAAAGGACCTGAGTGAAAGCCTACTTCATTTGTATTACTGTGGATTACAGATATTGATGAGTGTGGGGTCAATAACGGTGGTTGTCAGCATGAATGTATCAATAGGAGAGGGTCCTTTTCTTGCCAGTGTCCAGTTGGCTTCCAACTCTCAAACAACAGGAGATCATGCAATGGTGTGTAAGTGACACGTATTGGTGTCTATCTCTAGTCTACATATTGTACACCAGATGTATGGGGCGTATGCTGTATCCTCTACTTAAGCCACATTCATTGTCTTATGTTACAGATATGAATGAATGTTCTGAGGGTACCCACAACTGTGATGGCAACTGTACTAATACTGATGGTTCTTATACATGTTCATGTAATGACGGATTATTGCTGCAACCTGATGGACACTCGTGTCGATGTGGAGGTATACTGACTGCAGCTAGTGGCAGTTTCCACACTGAAGGATGGCCCAGAGCCTACAGACCAGAGAACCTCCAATGTGAATGGATCATTCAACTACCAAACAATGATGCCACCATCCAGTTCACCATGAACCAGACTGCATTTGGTATCAATGGAAATCCTTCGGCATCGTGCCCCACTGATTACATTCAGTTCTTTGATGGGACTAGCAGTAACTCCAACTCCCTCGAGAAGATATGTGGTGTTCACTCTCACTATGGAGGAACCCTCCCTGTCATTTCCACCACATCTTCATCAGCAAGAGTTGTGTTCACTGGAAGCAATCTACGACGTCCGCTCAGTAGAGTTGGTGTTAAGGTGGACTATGTCTCAATTGTACCAATAGGTATGTACTATGTGTGTTTCCTTTTGCAGACACTTTAACGTGTTTTCCGTTATCTCTTAGTGTACAACTGCTCAGTAGAGAATGGAGGATGTGACCATATCTGTGTTAGTATATCTGAAGGAGTAGAATGTCAATGCCGAGATGGCTATGGTCTCATTGGTAGATCCACCTGTTCTGGTATGTTTGCCTCATAAATACTGCGACTACTCAAGATATAGAGAGTATGTTGTTTCTTAATTAGATCGAAATGAGTGTGAGAGTGGCTCTCACAGCTGTGATCAAGTCTGCACCAATACTGAAGGGTCCTACACCTGCTTTTGTCACAGTGGATTTGAATTAGGTTCAGATGGAGAATCATGCATTGGTATGTTATGATGTGCAATAGCATTATACAGTTTGCCAAAATAAAGTGTTTCTCTGTAGATATCAACGAATGCAGTGTGGAAAATGGAGGATGTGGCCACGAGTGCATAAATCGAGATGGCTCTTTTGAATGTCGATGCAGAAGTGGTTACCGACTCACAAATGAAAGAGAGTGCATTGGTAAGAATTAAGCTATGTTTCCTTCCTATTTTAGTTGCCAGCTTCTATCATTACAGAAATTGATGAATGCTTAGAGGGCACGCACAGCTGTAATCATCAATGTACTAATACTAATGGCTCGTACACATGTTCGTGTAACAGCGGCTTTTTTATGCAACCTGATGGACACTCATGTCAATGTGGAGATCGACTGATTGCAGCCAGCGGCAGTTTCCAGACTGAAGGATGGCCAAACTCCTACAGACAAGAAGACTTTCAGTGTGAATGGATCATTAATCTACCAAACAACGCTGCCACCATTCAGTTTACACTTGACGATTCCGCATTTGGTATCAATGGAAGGAGTCCGTGTGGAAGAGACCACATACAGTTCTTTGATGGAAGTGGTGGGAATGCAGACATTCTTGAGAAGATTTGTGGCCTTGCTAAATTCTACAGTGGAGGTCTTCCAGTTTTAACTACTACCACTTCAGAGGCGAGAGTGGTTTTCACTGGAAGTAGAGTCGTGCGTCCTAGCAGTAGAGTTGGTGTCCGAGTGCACTACATTACTATACCATCACCAGGTAATTGACATGGGGCTAATGTAACATTTAGTGGAGGGGACTCTAAAAGTTTTTAACATGTTTACCTCAGATAAACACATGCTATGAAACTTAGCCTTGGTATTATAGCCCCCTATTTTAGCTACCTGCCATAAGGGATGCATTTTGAGCCTCTCTCTACATTTCTTCTTTGTCTTTTGCAGCATACAACTGTTCCTATGATAATGGAGGATGTGACCATATCTGCAATGATAGTTCTGGTATCATAGAGTGTCAGTGCCAACATGGGTATGATCTCATTCGGGGATCTAGCTGTATAGGTGGGCTGATCTTCCTGTTATTGTGGCCAATATTCACCACTTATGATCTGTTTGATTTAGATCGAAATGAGTGTGAGAGTGGCTCTCACAGCTGTGATCAGGTCTGCACCAACACTGAAGGGTCTTACACCTGTTCTTGTCACAGAGGACTTGAGTTAGGTTCAGATGGAGAAACATGCATTGGTATGTTTATCATGTGCAATAGCATTATACAGTTTGCCAAAATAAAGTGTTTCTCTGTAGATATCAACGAATGCAGTGTGGAAAATGGAGGATGTGACCACGAGTGCATAAATCGAGATGGCTCTTTTGAATGTCGATGCAGAAGTGGTTACCAACTCACAAATGAAAGAGAATGCATTGGTCAGAATTAAGCTAGGCTTCCTTCCTATTTTAGTTGCCAGCTAACCATCACAATTCCTTCTATCATTACAGATATTGACGAATGCTTAGAGGGCACGCACAGCTGTGATCAAGTCTGCACCGATACTGAAGGGTCCTACACCTGTTATTGTCGCAGCGGATTTGAGTTTGGATCAGATGGAGAATCATGCATTGGTATTCCTATATTTTGTATTATCAGTTCCTGCTCAGTCAATTTTTTGCTGCAGATATTAACGAATGTCTTGTTGATAATGGAAGTTGCGATCACGAGTGCTTGAATCAAGTTGGTTCCTTTGAATGTCGATGCAGAAATGGCTACCGACTTGCAAATGGAGGAGAGTGTGTTGGTTAGCTTATGACACTGACTTTACATCCTCTACTTAAGCCACATTCATTGTCTTATGTTACAGATATGAATGAATGTTCTGAGGGTACCCACAACTGTGATGGCAACTGTACTAATACTGATGGTTCTTATACATGTTCATGTAATGACGGATTATTGCTGCAACCTGATGGACACTCGTGTCGATGTGGAGGTATACTGACTGCAGCTAGTGGCAGTTTCCACACTGAAGGATGGCCCAGAGCCTACAGACCAGGGAACTTCCAATGTGAATGGATCATTCAACTACCAAACAATGATGCCACCATCCAGTTCACCATGAACCAGACTGCATTTGGTATCAATGGAAATCCTTCGGCATCGTGCCCCACTGATTACATTCAGTTCTTTGATGGGACTAGCAGTAACTCCAACTCCCTCGAGAAGATATGTGGTGTTCACTCTCACTATGAAGGAACCCTCCCTGTCATTTCCACCACCTCTTCATCAGCAAGAGTTGTGTTCACTGGAAGCAATATACGACGTCCGCTCAGTAGAGTTGGTGTTAAAGTGGACTATGTCTCAATTGTACCAATAGGTATGTACTATGTATGTTTCCTTTGCAGACACTTTAACGTGTTTTCCGTTATCTCTTAGTGTACAACTGCTCAGTAGAGAATGGAGGATGTGACCATATCTGTGTTAGTAGATCTGAAGGAGTAGAATGTCAATGCCGAGATGGCTATGGTCTCATTGGTAGATCCACCTGTTCTGGTATGTTTGCCTCATAAATACTGCGACTACTCAAGATATAGAGAGTAAATATGTTTTTTCTTAATTAGATCAAAATGAGTGTGAGAGTGGCTCTCACAGCTGTGATCAGGTCTGCACCAATACTGAAGGGTCTTACACCTGTTCTTGTCACAGAGGACTTGAGTTAGGTTCAGATAGAGAATCATGCATTGGTATGTTATCATGTGCAATATGTGCAATAGCATTATACAGTTTGCCAAAATAAATGTGTTTCTCTGTAGATATCAACGAATGCAGCGTGGAAAATGGAGGATGTGACCACGAGTGCATAAATCGAGATGGCTCTTTTGAATGTCGATGTAGAAGTGGTTACCAACTCACAAATGAAAGAGAATGCATTGGTCAGAATTAAGCTAGGCTTCCTTCCTATTTTAGTTGCCAGCTAACCATCACAATTCCTTCTATCATTACAGATATTGACGAATGCTTAGAGGGCACGCACAACTGTGATCAAGTCTGCACCAATACTGAAGGGTCCTACACCTGTTATTGTCGCAGCGGATTTGAGTTTGGATCAGATGGAGAATCATGCATTGGTATTCCTATATTTTGTATTATCAGTTCCTGCTCAGTCAATTTTTTGCTGCAGATATTAACGAATGTCTTGTTGATAATGGAAGTTGCGATCACGAGTGCTTGAATCAAGTTGGTTCCTTTGAATGTCGATGCAGAAATGGCTACAGACTTGCAAATGGAGTAGAGTGTGTTGGTTAGCTTATGACACTGACTTTACATCCTCTACTTAAGCCACATTCATTGTCTTATGTTACAGATATGAATGAATGTTCTGAGGGTACCCACAACTGTGATGGTGACTGTACTAATACTGATGGTTCTTATACATGTTCATGTAATGACGGATTATTGCTGCAACCTGATGGACACTCGTGTCGATGTGGAGGTATACTGACTGCAAGCTAGTGGCAGTTTCCACACTGAAGGATGGCCCAGAGCCTACAGACCAGGGAACTTCCAATGTGAATGGATCATTCAACTACCAAACAATGATGCCACCATCCAGTTCACCATGAACCAGACTGCATTTGGTATCAATGGAAATCCTTCGGCATCGTGCCCCACTGATTACATTCAGTTCTTTGATGGGACTAGCAGTAACTCCAACTCCCTCGAGAAGATATGTGGTGTTCTCTCTCACTATGGAGGAACCCTCCCTGTCATTTCCACCACATCTTCATCAGCAAGAGTTGTGTTCACTGGAAGCAATATACGACGTCCGCTCAGTAGAGTTGGTGTTAAAGTGGACTATGTCTCAATTGTACCAATAGGTATGTACTATGTATGTTTCCTTTTGCAGACACTTTAACGTGTTTTCCGTTATCTCTTAGTGTACAACTGCTCAGTAGAGAATGGAGGATGTCACCATATCTGTGTTAGTAGATCTGAAGGAGTAGAATGTCAATGCCGAGATGGCTATGGTCTCATTGGTAGATCCACCTGTTCTGGTATGTTTGCCTCATAAATACTGCGACTACTCAAGATATAGAGAGTAAATATGTTTTTTCTTAATTAGATCAAAATGAGTGTGAGAGTGGCTCTCACAGCTGTGATCAGGTCTGCACCAATACTGAAGGGTCTTACACCTGTTCTTGTCACAGAGGACTTGAGTTAGGTTCAGATGGAGAAACATGCATTGGTATGTTTTATCATGTGCAATAGCATTATACAGTTTGCCAAAATAAATGTGTTTCTCTGTAGATATCAACGAATGCAGTGTGGAAAATGGAGGATGTGACCACGAGTGCATAAATCGAGATGGCTCTTTTGAATGTCGATGCAGAAGTGGCTACCAACTCACAAATGAAAGAGAATGCATTGGTCAGAATTAAGCTAGGCTTCCTTCCTATTTTAGTTGCCAGCTAACCATCACAATTCCTTCTATCATTACAGATATTGACGAATGCTTAGAGGACACGCACAGCTGTGATCAAGTCTGCACCAATACTGAAGGGTCCTACACCTGTTATTGTCGCAGCGGATTTGAGTTTGGATCAGATGGAGAATCATGCATTGGTATTCCTATATTTTGTATTATCAGTTCCTGCTCAGTCAATTTTTTGCTGCAGATATTAACGAATGTCTTGTTGATAATGGAAGTTGCGATCACGAGTGCTTGAATCAAGTTGGTTCCTTTGAATGTCGATGCAGAAATGGCTACCGACTTGCAAATGGAGGAGAGTGTGTTGGTTAGCTTATGACACTGACTTTACATCCTCTACTTAAGCCACATTCATTGTCTTATGTTACAGATATGAATGAATGTTCTGAGGGTACCCACAACTGTGATGGTGACTGTACTAATACTGATGGTTCTTATACATGTTCATGTAATGACGGATTATTGCTGCAACCTGATGGACACTCGTGTCGATGTGGAGGTCTACTGACTGCTGCTAGTGGCAGTTTCCACACTGAAGGATGGCCCAGAGCCTACAGACCAGGGAACTTCCAATGTGAATGGATCATTCAACTACCAAACAATGATGCCACCGTCCAGTTCACCATGAACCATACTGCATTTGGTATCAATGGAAATCCTTCGGCATCGTGCCCCACTGATTACATTCAGTTCTTTGATGGGACTAGCAGTAACTCCAACTCCCTCGAGAAGATATGTGGTGTTCACTCTCACTATGGAGGAACCCTCCCTGTCATTTCCACCACATCTTCATCAGCAAGAGTTGTGTTCACTGGAAGCAATCTACGACGTCCGCTCAGTAGAGTTGGTGTTAAGGTGGACTATGTCTCAATTGTACCAATAGGTATGTACTATGTGTGTTTCCTTTTGCAGACACTTTAACGTGTTTTCCGTTATCTCTTAGTGTACAACTGCTCGGTAGAGAACGGAGGATGTCACCATATCTGTGTTAGTAGATCTGAAGGAGTAGAATGTCAATGCCGAGATGGCTATGGTCTCATTGGTAGATCCACCTGTTCTGGTATGTTTGCCTCATAAATACTGCGACTACTCAAGATATAGAGAGTATGTTGTTTCTTAATTAGATCGAAATGAGTGTGAGAGTGGCTCTCACGGCTGTGATCAAGTCTGCACCAATGCTGAAGGGTCCTACACCTGTTCTTGTCACAGCGGACTTGAGTTAGGTTCAGATGGAGAATCATGCATTGGTATGCCTTAGTACTATGTCTATGTTCATTAATATACCAATGACGTAATGTTTCCTCTGTAGATATCAATGAATGCAGTGTGGAGAATGGAGGATGCAATTATGAGTGTGTAAATCAAGAAGGCTCATTTGAATGTAGATGTAGAGATGGTTACCGAGTCTCAAATGGAAGAGAATGCATTGGTCAGAATCTTTATAACTAACATTGAACATTATAATTATGGTTTTGCATCATAGAAATTGACGAATGCTCTGAGGGTACCCACAACTGTGATAGTGACTGTACTAATACTGATGGTTCGTACACTTGTTCATGTAATAACGGATTATTGCTGCAACCTGATGGACACTCGTGTCGATGTGGAGGTATACTGACTGCAGCTAGTGGCAGTTTTCAGACAGATGGATGGCCTACTTCCTACAGACAAGAGAACTTCCAGTGTGAATGGATCATTCAACTACCAAACAGTGATGCCACCATCCAGTTCAATATTGACCAGTCTGCATTTGGTACCCTTGGAAAACCACCATGCAACAAGGATTACATCCAGTTCTTTGATGGAACTGATAGCGGTGCTGCATCACTTAAGAAAATCTGTGGACTTCTTAAATTCTACGGGGGAGCCATACCTTCTATCAACACCACTTCTTCAACAACCAGGGTGGTTTTCACTGGGACTCGCTTCCAACAACGACCACTATCGAGAGTTGGAGTTAAGGTTGATTACGTCACTATACCTCCACCAGGTAAAAACAATCAAATGTAACTTTGCTAAATTGCATGGGGCAATTTCACTAAAAGAGTAGATAATTGTATTTGTGTTGCATTTTAAAGTGATGCAGATATTTCACTTTAGCAAGGAAGGGTCCACATTTTCAGTAGCTTTTAAAGCCCATAGTTTTAAGCCATTGTTTCAATTTTAAATTTTAGATGTTGATGAGTGTGCACTTGGTACACACAATTGTGAGCAACTCTGTGAAAATACTCCTGGCTCATTTATCTGTTCCTGTCGCAATGGCTACTCTCTGTCAAGTGACGACAGGACTTGCAATGGTAGGCAGCTAATACCGTACTAGATAATGAGTATTATATTGTTTGCTGTAATCAATTCAGACATTGATGAGTGTCTGGGTAATAGTCACGGATGTGATCAAGTTTGCACAAACACTAATGGGTCCTATGCCTGCTCATGTGTCGATCGGTTTACACTGCAAAGTGATATGCAGACATGCATATCCGATCCAACCCCACCACCTGAGCTTTCAACAACGCATCCCAAAGTTGTCACTCCCTCGACATCTGTGACGAATATAAGTCCATCTGGCACCGAAACGATAACTCCCACAACACAATCAGTTTCCGAGATAAAGTCAACTCTTACGGAACTTTTAGTGACCGAAACAACCGTGACGGCTACATCGCCTTTACTTGCTGGTACGCCAACACCTTTACTTCCAAAAACTCCCACAAACATTTCATTAGCACCAACGGTGCTCTCGAAGCCTGCACCAACTTCAACAGAACTTTTAGTGACCAAGACAACTGTGACAGCTTCATCGCCTTTACTTGCTGGTACGCCAACACCTTTACTTCCAAAAACTCCCACAAACATTTCACTAGCACCGCTGTGAGGGGTAGGGAGCGAACAACCTGGGATGCTCCCCAAAAGCTGCTAGCGCAACTTCAGATCTGCCCTGCCTCCAGACGAGCACGAGACGGAGTAAATTATGTGAGCGGTCTTCTCACAGGATATGAAAAGTAACCCAGCCTGAATGTACCTTTCATAGAATATTGGATGCAGTGGCATGGCCGCATGCCGTTGATATTATTACAGTGCTCGCAGGCGGGTTATCAACTAAAAGACGCTGTTCAATTATAGCATGTCGTTTAGTGATCCCTGTAGGAGCAGTAAGAGGGCAAGTAAGCGTAACTAGGGTGCGGAAGTCTGTCGGTACCTCGCGTACTGTGGGTCAGGAGTGCGAGACTCGTTATATCTTGCAGGAGGGATAACGTCGGAGTGTAGGAGGAGGAGACTGTATAAGTCGCTCACCTGGGGGAGAGGGCTGGCGAGCTGTGGGGTGGGCGGTGCCTTGGGAACGTAGGGAGGGAGATATGACATGAGATCCACGTAGCTGCCATAGTCGAGATCTGTCGCTGTAATTCGAAAATTACTGAGTAGCCAGCGTCAATGGACTGCCCTAGCGACAGATAGTAACGAACTACAAAAGGCATTATATATCCGACCGCAAAGGAACTTGCCAGATGTGAGTGAGGACAGAAGGTGATGAGAGCGGATAGGAGTTGCTAATAGCTAGCTCTGTGCGAGAAGTCGCCGGGGCTTACGATGACCGGAGACGATTTAGAGCTGCTGTTCGTGAGGTTAGCACACCGTAGGAGCACTTATTCAGACTAGCTACGAGTGAGGTGAGGATATTAAGTGAGAGAACGTCTCTTTGATTGCAGAGGAGGAGCAGAGCGTCGCGGATCTGCAGAGAGATAAGGTGTCACTATGTAAATGAATAGCGACACAGTAATTCCTGTATCACTTGAACTGTCCGCGTCTCGCTGGAGTCAAGTTTGTTGGGTATGGTTATGAGTGTGCGTTGAGCGTATTGGGCTTACGCGACAGCTGGAGGCAAAGCATGATGCCGGCGCGGTGCTGTACTTGACTGATTGAGGCAGAGATCTGACGCGTAATCAAGCTTATAGTAAGCCAGTAGGCTTAGGAGATTATACTTGCATAGTCGACAGCGGAAAAGGAGATACTTGATTACGGTGTTGGGCCTATCGGATTGACGCATATCGGATGCAGACTCGAGAGGCCGGAGATGGTAGAGCTCCGGTGTCGAGGTTTGAGAAGAACGTCGATTCTATTGGCGCGACGAAGCATACATGAACTGAGATTATGCAAAGCACGTGGTGAAGTATGATTTACAGTGAGCAGCAGAGCGAGAAACACACCAGACACAGAGAGGGCGGGAGAGATTGAAAAGTATATACTTGCAAAAGTCGAGACAGTGTTAGGTTACCCCGCTGAACTTGGAGATGTTAAGATAAGTATGCTTCTCGAAATACTGCTAGTGGAGCGAGGTGCGAATAACCCATGTGAGCAATAGTGCATCAACTGCTCATGGTCCCTCGTAGATATACCTATCTACATGAAGAGGAATGGCACGCATACGATCAGCGATGTGTGGAGGGGTGCGAGATAACCACTTTTTCGTGACCGACGGATAAACGCGCGCATAGTGATGGCTTCAACGTGAGAGTGCTCATCTTGAGCGTACACTCGGTACATGTCGAGGATATTAAGAAGAGCCTTCGACGATAGTTGAATGTCGTCCAGCTTAGAATACGAGTCGCTGTAGATATGGGCCGGCGCATAGGAATGGATGAGGTAGAGGCCAGGGACGGAGGCGCTTATGTATCGACCGAAATGGCGCCAAGGAGCGCTGACGGTCGCGATACGCTTACGATCTAGTGAGTGACGAACTAACAGCGATCGTATATCGCGCCCGATAGAGGCGTCAGGATCGAGTACGTAGATCGGAGTGAGGCACACGGATAGAGCTGACGAAGACTAGTTCAAATTGTGTATCGGAATGGGAGTCTACTGGGTCTGTGGGAGCGTGCGTGAGCTGGAATACGACATAATAATGGTACGAGCATCGTTCGGCATCATGAGAGGGTTAGACAGGACCAAATCAAGCATGCCGCAAGAATAGTATAGTCGATAAGTCGATAGAGGTGATCTCGATGCTGACAAGAATGTAAGTACGGATATTGAAGATCGACAGGTGGCCATTGATCGGATAGTACGCTCGGGAGAATATTAGTAAAGGTACGTAAAGGCTAGGATGACGAATCAGTGTCCAGATAATCAGTCAGGATTGTCATCATCAAGTACTAATGATGCTGTTCACATGCATGGGATCGTGTCGTAGTTGTCGACGATGAAAAAATGCTAAGGCGAAGGTATACAGGAGATATTAGAAGAGATACGATCACGATGAACAAGCATGTCGCGCATATGATCAGAGCTGTAGGATAGGATGGACAGAAATGAGAAAGTGACGATCTTATCGTGATGGATGCAGATGGTAGATCAGGAGGTACATTCAACCATTACTGCAAGCAGATCTCGAACTCCAAGGGTTTACAACTAGATCAAGAGTACGATAGATGTCATGAGGCATGCAGAGCAGTTCCCATTCCATCGTGTTTGAATAACACGATTCAGACGTCAGGCTGATCAACTACTAGTGAACGATTACAGCGATGAGACCGACGCCAACGCTCGTAGAAGTGGCCCGAACAATGTTTGGCTGGGGTACTGGTTTGCTTGAGTACAGTCTCTGTGAGTTTATGCATCCGGGTCCATCAGGACGCCATCACAATCGACGGACTGGTTGTGTTCAGGGTACTGTACAATGCCGATCGTCCTGCAGCAGAGTAGGCTGAGGGTTGAGCTACACAACAAGAAGGCCGTAACTAAGAAAGCTGTGAGCTCGGAGCACGCAGATCCGGTTTTTGGTCATCCATGACACTGTCATCTATACTTATTGTGTCAGAATACTATTATTATAGTCACGTATTTTGATACTCAACACATTATTTTCTTGCAATCGAGACTGTAATTGTATGTGCTTGGACCAACAGGAAAGTTTCATCGGACTTGATAAAATTTACCCCAGCCGTTTGCATGAACCGCCAAGCACTTACCCAACATATTATTTTTCCTATTAGTCCTTAATGGATTACTTGGCAGGCAAGAACAAAAAGTCAAATTTTCATGACA